TAAACCTATAAATATATGCACATAGATCGATTTACCCATCCTTATATATAAATATATTTACATATGTACATGCCTTTATTTAGACCTCTATAAATGCCCTTTGTCTCCTAGCTCTTTGCTCTATTTCCTTTTACTTTCCTTTTGTCCCACTATCATGCTCAGCCTTCATTTGCCTTTCAGGAATTCCTCTCAGTTTATTACCCTTGATCACACCCTATCAGGCCTCCTACACCCTCCTCACCACTGATTTAGGTCACTTGTTGTTCCCTTGTCCCTGGGTTTGTTTGTTTTACAGTAGAGAGAGGGGGAAAGTACAGGTTTTCAAACAAATGGGACCCAGGTCCCTCACTTTGACCCCCAAATTAAGTCTTTACCAGCCTGCCAGCTAGGCGCTGACAACCAATGGTGCTGCCCACATCCTTCATGCTGCAGGTAACATGGAAGATCAGCTGCCGCAGCCCCTCGTGACCCTCCAGGCTTTTACAGGACAGTTCACTGTAGGGAGAAAGAACTGTATTTGCTCAGAACACCAAACCCTTTGTGAAGAAGCATTTCAGCACTCTAGTTTCCCAAGCGTTTCTTCCCCGGTGCTGACAAGTCCAAGGAACTTGCGAAAAGGACACAAAAAGTTTGTTGACTACTTGCTTTGTGTTGGGCACTAGTCTAACCCATTTGACACCCATTGTCCAGAGCAGGAGAACAAGGTTTACTGAGATGAAGGACATGACTGGGTTTGACCCAGGCCTCTGATCTAGAGCTGGTACTGCTGTTATCACAGCTTCTCTGAGTCTTTTCAAAGGTGCATGAGCCCTGAATGCCGGACCCTAACCCTGCGCTGGGCCAAGGCATCCCCACGACAGCAGGGGCACCGAAGGTATGGATTCCACCCAGAGTGAGGGGATCCGAGTCAAGAGCCATCAGTGTAGTGATGGCAATGCGTATTTTGTTCCTATCAGGGCAATATCAGAATGCTCACTTAACCCTCTGAACCTCAACTTTAACATCTGCGAAGTGAGCATACTAGACCCCCACACTCTGCAGGGCTGGTGTAGAAGTTAAATGACAAGCCCAGGCCACGGGTTTCAACTGCACTACTCTGTCCCTCAACTCTGTTACCCACGCTTAGCCCTTCCCAGACTGGGTGAATCTCCCAGCACCACATGATATTTGGGCATATCTTGTGTTTGGTTTTTGATAAGTGATAACAAATTACCTCATGGGTGGATATGTGCATTCCCATCTCCTGATCCTATACTGCATGCTCAGCACTGTCCATGGAGTATAGAAGGAATCCCTAAAAGGTCCAGTTGCTACCCTTTACCCAGGAAGGGGTCCAGCCTGGCAGCGTCCCCTACCAAGGAATACAGATCCATTGACAAGTGCCTTGGACACATGTTGCAGGATCAGGTGTGGCTCTGGCACACTTACTATAGGTTCTTGTTGGTGATGTCTGGGAAGCCTGTGGCTCTGGCTCCTGAGGGTGAGCGGCAGAGAGCCAGCACATAAGCCCGGAGCGTTGCGATCCTCTCCACTCGGAATTTAGTTTCAATTAAATCCAGGTGTGTTCCCACCACCAACACCACGGAGTTTGGGGCCTTGGCCTTTGAGAAAGAGGGGGGTGGGAGAGAATAGCACAGCTGAGCACAGCCTCCTGTCAGCCAGACAGAATCCAGAACAGCTCCATAGTCTATACAGTTCTGTCAATGTGGCAACCCATAGTTCCTTCTCCGCAAACCCTTGAGTCCCTGTTGTGTGCAAGAGGGACCAGTTCCTTATTTTTGGAAGCATCTCCCAGTAATGAATGGGTACTTTGTGGAATCTCTGTCCACCTCAACCCCCAGAAGCTGCCAGTGTGCTCAGAGCTCTGGTCCATGGGTGACGGCTTTCTGACCCTTCAGAAAGGGTGAGCTTGCCTTCATGACATAATCACTTTCCAACTGGGAAGGTGAGTCCTTTTGTATCCAGGGGTGGGATTCAATATTTTAGACAGTTTTATTGACATATAATTTACATACTATATAATTCAATGGTTTAAATATATTTAAAAGGTTGTACAATCATTACCACAATCAATTTTAGAACATCTTCTTCATTCTTGTACCCATTATTATCAGCTTCCCAATTACCTCCACTCTCTCCTGCCAGAACTCTAAGAACCCATTATTCTAATTACTGTCTATAGATTTATATATCTTGGATTTCATATAAAGAAAATTATACAAAAATCTCCAATGATGACAACAAAATAAAACACAGAAAGAAACTCAATCCAAGAGAAATCAGAAGATAATAGAAGCTAGAACAAATTTAAAATGGGGCGAAAGGGAAAACAAATGATAAAATGTTAAATTTAGCCTGTCTGCAGGAATCTATTTTCCGATATACTCCATGTAAAGGAAATAGTATTCACATCCCTGGTCACAAGGGGATACAATGGGGGCCTTGGCCACATGGGGACTCTGTAAAGGGATTTGGGGCCTTTGTTGTCATCCATAGCCTTCTGCAAACCAGGTCCCCAGAATTTAAGCTCTCATGCAATTTCTTCCTCTGATCTAGGGTTTTATTATTTACAATCTTGGATTACAGAGGTGTGTTCCTTCTGTGTGGACTTAGCTGACATCTCCCTTAGATAATTGCTTAGGACAAGCCTTTAACATCTTAGACACTACTGTTTCTGATAGCTGGGCACTCTGATTTCTTTACTACACTTTATCACCTATATTTTCAGTGATAACTTCATGAGCGCAACTATTGTGCAGGGTCACATCGTAAGAAATAATTGTTACTAGATTAGGGTTTATGATTAAGTGAAAGCTTAAAAGCTATATTTATATCTACTATGCTTATATATTCCCGGTCTACTTTAGATCATTATCAGCTTATTTGGAAATAATTTAAGTAACTTCTATGAAACATTTGCTAATTCTAATCATTATATCACTGATCTATCCAAGGGTATAAAAATTCAAAGTACTATTGAGAAAAGGAAAAGATATATATACATAAAAGCTTTTTAGACTAAAATACATGGGCTATTCATTTATACAGGTTAAAATCTTAAGTACTGATCAATGCTTAGGAAAGCAATGAGGGTTAGACACAAGGCAAACCTCAATAATGCTCATTCACTAAGGCAAACATATGTCTTCAGGACTAAGACACATTAAAAAAGCAAAGAAAACATGTAAATAGCAAGTACATGGTAGTTTTAAGTTGCCAATTATTGTAGGGTGCTTAATTTAAGGCAAACAAAAAAGTAAAAGAGCATTAACAACTATCAGACCTCATAGGATATTCTTTTTCTTTTTAAGTTAAGTAATAAATTTTGTGACAACTCTTGATCATTTACATACAGTAGTGATTGCTATTACAGTTGATAGTAGTTAAGGAAGCCAAGGCAAAGAGTCTTTCCTGACTAAGAAGAGGCTACACAGCGTGAGTCCTCCTTCTGCATGTTAGGCTCAGCAATGGACAGCGTGCAATCCTTCCTTACACTCTCATCTGCTGCACAACGGACAGATTCTTCTCAGGAGACCTTTGCAGGCACACAGGCCTCCACAGACACACGACAAATTGCGAACTGCTGGAAAGTCCCCATGTAAGGTAGAGCATGGCTCGTTTCCTAATGGAAAGCCATGTAAAGAAATGGCTCTCTGCATTGGTTTTGTTTCATGAGCCAAATTGGCTGGTGAAGGCGCTCTCTTGTTTGGTCAAACACTGATCTAGTTGCTATTCTGAAGTAGGTGCATGTGATTAAATCAGCCAGTGGTAAGTTAAGCAGATTTTCATCCATAGTGGGGGTGGGCCTCTGTCAAACAGCTGAAGACCTTCATGGCAAAAAAAAAAAAAAAAAGAAAGAAAAGAGAGAGAGAATTTCCCTAGGGAATGTGCTATTGCTATCTCCAAACTATCAAGAGACAGCTTTCCAGGTTCCTTCATTCTTCTTATCACCTGACCTACATATTGGGAGATAGATAGAAGACTGTGGGAATCTCTGGTCTGTCTAATGACCTACATAGACTTACTAACATCACACAATCATATAAGCCAATTCTTTGAATAAGTCCCTTTATGTGTGTGTGTGTGAATTAATTAATATATATTATCTGCCTGTCAGTTTGTTGTGCTGTGGTGGCTTGTGGGTTGCTCTGATGCTGGAAGCTATGTCACTGGTGTTTCAAATGCCAGCAGGGTCACCCACAGTGAACAGTGGGTGACAGCAGAGCTTTCAGGCTAAGAACAGACGTGAAGAAGGACTCTGCTCCCCACTGCAGAGGAAATAGCCTCTGAAAAACTGAGGTCTGCCTTTGACACATTGTCAGATACCGACGGTCCAGTGACTGGAAGCAGAATGATGTCTGAAATGGTGACGGACGATGGGCACCTCAGGTCTGAGGGCAGTCAAATGTGACTGAGGAGCTGAGTTATCTCCGTGGGGTCGACCCTGTGATGTGTGTCGGGAAAAGCCTGTGGGAGTGGAGCCTTTGGGATCTTCATTTGCTGATGGGGCATAACTCAAAGTAGGGACACACTGCTGTAAAAATCTGCTAATGATTAGAACTTGGCATGTGCAAAGAATGAATCCAGGAAAATTGGAAGCCATCAAAAATGGAATGGAATGCATGAAGATTGATATCCTAGGTATAAGTGAGCTGAAATTGGCCACTTTGAATGAGAAATCATGATTCACCATACTGAGAACAATAACGCAATCAAGAGGAATGGTGTGGCAGTCTCTGACAAAAAAGACAGTGCCAAATCCATCATGAAGGACAATCCTGGGTGTGATAAGATGATATCTATCTGCCCTCAAGGAAATCCAATCAACACAAATATTACCCTATATACTTGTGTATAAGCCGAGTTTTCCAGTACATTTTTAATGTAGGTTTTGTGGTGAAATTCAGGTTGGCTTATACTCGAGTATATACTATTCAAATTTATGTACCAACAACTGAGGCTAATGTTGCAAAAATTGAAGAATTCTACCAGGAACTTCAGCCAGAAATTGATCAGACTTGCAATCAAGATGCATTGATAATTATTGGCCACTGAAATGCAAAATTTGGAAACAAAGAGGAAGGAGCAGTGTTTGGAAAATATGGGCTAGGTGACAGAAACAAAGTTAGAGATCACATGACAGAATTTTGCAAGACCAACAACTTGTTCATAGCAAATACCCTTCTTCAACACTATACATGGATTCTTCCGATGAAATATACAGAGATCACATTGACTACATCTGTGGAAAGACACAAAGAAGATGCTCAATATCAGGAGCTAAAACCAAGCCAGGGGCTGACTGGAACAGACCATCAATTGCTCCTATGTAAGTTCAGGATCAAGCTGAAGAAAATGAGAACAAGTTCATAGGAGCCAAAATACATGCTTGAGTTTATCTCACCTGAAGTTTGAGAACATCTCAAGAACAAATTTGCTGCATTGAACACTAAGGACAGAAGACCGGATGAGCGGTGAAAGGACATCAAAAACATCATTCGTGAAGAAAGCAAAAGGTCACTAAAAAGACAGGAGCAAAAGAAAAATATCAGAGTGGATGTCAGAAAGGACTTAGAAACTTGCTCTTAATCGTAGAGTACCTAAAGCAAACAGAAGAACTGATGAAGTCAAAGAGTCGAATAGAAAATTTCCCAGGGCAGCTCATATAGGCAAAGGTTATAATGAAATGTGTAAATAATTTTGAAACTAAAAGTGAAGAATACACTCAGCATATCTTAAACGGAAGAAATCAAGAGAAAATTCAAGCCTTGAGTTGCAATCTTGAAAGATTCTATGGTCAAAATAGTGAGTGATGCAGGAAGCATTAAAGGAAGATGGAAAGAATACAGAGTCACTGTTCCAGAAAGAACGAGTCAATCTCCCACCATTTCAGGAGGTAGCATATGAGCAAGAACCAATGGTGCTGAAGGAAGAAGTTCTAACTGCACTGAATGCATTAGTCAAAAATCAAGGTTCCAGGAATTGATGGAATACCAATTGAACTGTTTCAGAAAACTGAAGAATACTGGAAGCATTCACTTGTCTATGCTAGGAAATTTAGAAGACAGTTATTTGGTCAACTGACTAGAAGAGATCCATATTTATACCCTCTCTAAAGAAAGGTGACCCAGTAGAATGCTCAAATTATAGAGCAATATTATTGATATCACATGAAAGTATAATTTTGCCGAATGTCATTCAGCAATGTTTGTAGCAGTACATTGAGAGGGAACTGTCAGAGGTTCAGGCTAGAATCGGAAGAGGATATGGGACAAGGGATATCATTGCCGATCTTGACTGAAAGCAGAGAATAGCAGGAAGATATTTTACTGGTTATGCAAAATCATGAGACTGTGTGGACATAAGAAACTATGGATAACATTGAGAAGAATGGGAATTCCAGAACACTTCAGTGTGCTCATTCAGAACTTGTACAGGGATCGACAGGCAATTGTGTGAACAGAACAAGGGAATGCTGCATGCTTAAAATCAGGAAAGGTGTGCAGCAGGGTTGTATTGCCTCACCATGCATGTTCAATCTGGATGCTCAGCGAATCACCAGAGAAACTGGCTTATACGAAGGAGACTGTGGCCTCAGGTTTGGAAGAAGTTTTATTAACTACCTGAGATACGGAGAGGGCACAACTTGGCTTGCTCAACGTGAGGAGGACTTGAAACATTTGTTAATGAAGATCAAGGACTTCAGCCTTCAGTATGGATTACAACTCAAGGTAAAGAAGCCCCAAATTTTCACAAGTGGACCAATAGGAAACATGATAAATGGAGAAAAAGGTGAAGTTGTTAAGAAATTTTGTCTTTCTTGGATTCACTGTCAAGGTCCAGGAAAGCAGCAGTCAAGAGATCAGAAGACCAATAGCATTTAAAGCTCCTGCATGACCTCTGTAGCGCATTGAATAGCAAGAATATTACTTTGAGGACTAAGGCGTGCCTGACCCCTGTATGCATGTGAAAGTTGGACAGTGAATTGCAAAGGCTGAAGAAGAATCAATACATTTGATTGTGGTGTGGAAGAAGAATATTGAAAAAAACATGGATTGCTAAAGGACAAGCTGATCTCTCTTGGCAGTATAGACAGAGGGCTCCTTAGTGGGAAGGATGACGAGACTTCGTCTGACATATTTTGGACATGCTTTCCAAATAGACCAATCCCTGGCAAAGGACAGCATGTTTGGTAAAGGCCAAGGGCAAAGAGGGAGAAGAAGGCCCTCAAGGAGATGACTGACACTGGCCATGACCATGGGCTCAAGCACAGGGACAATTACGGGGATGGCACAGGACTGGGCAGTGTTGCATTTTATTTTGCATAATGGTCGGCATATTTTGAGAGGGTTGGAACTGAGTCATTGGCATCTCACAACAACAAACACACATATTTATCGTCCACGCTGGCCCTGTTTCTCCAGGGAAGCCTGACTCAGGTAGTTTTCATGAAGCAAAGGAGAGTCTGAATCTCAAGTACAGGCTCAGCCTCTCATGCCAGCTTCTGGTCAGTTAAAGCCTACTAGGATTTTCAATGCCGCATTGTGGAAACATCTAGGACTGATAAAGACCTGTGACTCTGAGGCCCTCTGAAAATTCCCCCTCAAACACACGGTGATTCTTCTAACATGCTGTATTTTTATCTCAGTAAAGGAGAAAGAGTCAGAGAAGTGGTCAGACCTTCTGATGCTCTGAGTTTCTGGGAATTGAAGAGCTCGGCTTTTCCTTACCTCGATGTTCAGCAGCCAGAACTGGAGGCTGGCCACGGCCTCCTCACCCAGCGCCAGGTTCCACACGACTATGTACAAGGCCTTGTCTGTGAAGAAGCACTGGTTGACTGTGGCCATGCTGGCTGGGCCGCCAATATCCCAGACATTGAACTCCACAGACTCAATCTACTTGAGCAACAAGGGCAGCAAGAGAACGGAATTTTAAAGAAATCAAGCATTTGGTAATCCAGCATCAAGTAATTTAATACATCAAATGGAGATATGCTGACTCTGTCCTTGGAGGACTGAAATACAGACAATTGCAGAAAAACCTTGCAGCCTTGTTTCCCACAGGACTAATGGGGGCAAAGGGAAAGTAGAAGCCAGCACTTGGAGTTAAACTACTAGAACTTCTATCCACTGGTCACAGAGCAGTAGGATGGCTGTCCCTGGACGTTTCTTCTGCACCTAAGGAGCATATGAAGTCATGTCCAAGATGGCGTGAAGACATTCTGCTGGAGGAGGCCCCAGCCTCATGTCATCTTCATTCGAGGACTCAGACTTCTCTTTTGTCGGAGCTGTTCTCCAGCTTGCATACGTCAGAGAACATCACCCACCAAGGATGCTAGGAACCTTTCTTTATGTGAGAATCAGACCAAAGCATAGCTGTTGGGCTGCTGGTAAAGGCTGTGGTTTCTCTAGCATTTTATGAGCTCAGAGTCTGGCCTGGGAAGCTAAGTCTGCAGTTTTCTGTAGGAGGAACTCTGTTGCCCAATGCTGCATTTTGGCCTCTGAGATACAATGTGCTGACCTGCTTTTGTGTCAGGGCAAGAATGAGCAGCTGTTCTAAACTGGCTGCAGGCCAGCCTCACAAAGCACTATGGGACAGAATGTGTAGCTTTCCTTAGCATTCGCAAGATTAGGGGACTCTCCTCCAACTAGAGGGAGGGATCTTAAGGATGGCTAAAGGACAGAACAGAAACCGGATTCACCCCTTTGTCCAGGACAAACATTGGCGAAGAAAAAATGAATGATGAAAGGGCAAAGCAGAAGATAATTCAGAAGATTCTGGTTGTATTAGAAAAAAATCCCGGGCACGAATTAGCAGGGTCTACTGCTGGGCTGCTCTGGAGCATGCTTGGAATTAATGAACGGGGAGAAGTTGCTTTGTCAGTTCTGCTTATCACAACAACAAAACCAAATTCACTGCCATTGAGTTGTTGCCAACTAGGGTAGAAGTGCTTGTGTGAGTTGCCAAGCCCCATCGTTCTCCCAAGGAGCAGCAAGGGATTTTGATCTGCTTACATTGCCCAACACCCACTACACCATGAGGGCATCCGGCGCTAAGAGGAAGAGCGCAGTGCTTCAGAGGCACAACTGCTGTGCGGTGCTCGAATACATGTGGCCTACATGCTGAAGGAGCATGGGCCAAACAGGTATAAGTTCTTGGTTGCTGACCAAAAGGCTTGTAGTTCAAGTCCACCCAGACTTACCTTGAAAAATCGTCTACTTCGGAAAAAGCAGCCATTGAAAACCTTTGGTTCATGTTCTACTCTGGCACACATGGGGTTATCATGACTCTGACTCATCTTGGCAGCAACTGATCAGGTTTTAAATGGCTTTTTCATCAATCGGATTTCTCTGATTTGAAAAGTGACTTTGTGTTTCAGTGGGAAACCTGTTTCTAGATTCTGGTACTCTAGAGCTACTGTGATGGGATCTATAGGGTAAACCTAGTAAGTTGTGGCCTCCAGACCCCTGGTATCCCACAGTACTGGGGATCCTGAATGGCTCAGTATGACCACAGGTGCTAGGCAGCTGCAATCAACATCCCTCCATGCTAATGACACAGCTTGAACAAACAGCAGATTGCCGTGTGCTTGCTCCAGGGGCCAAGGTCCTGTCAATATTCCAGTGTCTTTCCTTTGTTCCCCAGGCAAGAAAATCCCATTAGATGTTTTTTTTTTCTGATATTGAAATGGAACACAGGATAAACAACAAGGCCATGAACAGATGCATCCTGAGAGCTGGAATCAACTGAAAGAGCCCTGGAGAGGAAAACCCGAGAAGGGGAAGGTTTCCCCCCCCCCATCAGGCCACCCACTGGCCTCAGGAACACTGCATGCCAACCCTCCTTGACCTTGGCTTTTGATCCAGTTGGCCTCTGAAGCTCCCACTTGGTAGTTCTGATGGTGGCCTCACTGTGCACCATCTGGGGAGCTTTTCCAGCCTGTAAGATCTCCAGGAGGATGGATTTTCCCTGTCGGGGGGGACCCACAATGATCATCTTCATCAGCTTGCATCTCTCTGCTTTCCGCAGCTGAGCACGCAGGTAAGACAGCATTGCTTTGGGGCCTGTGTGACAATCACAAAGTAGGAGTCACACTGCAGGCAGTCTATCAGTATGAACACGTGCACCTCTTAAGAAACAAAAGCCTGGCACAAAGGAACATTTTCTATGGGTTCTAATGGTGGAAAACCTGGAGACTACTAGGTCTGGTGTAGAGAAGGAGGGATACTAATCACCCCAGAATGAATTCTAAAAGCTCAGAACCAAAAGAAAATATCCCTGCTACCCAGGAGGCCAGAGAGTGACCATCTGGTCATTTTCCATGTAATGAACCTCAGTCACTGACCATTTCTGACCAGTATCTCCCCAAACAATGAAGCTGGAGTTATACTCTGCAGGTCACCTTGCTGCACTGGAATTGTCTTTCCTAGGAGGTGACTCTGAGGAAGCAAAATTGTGTAAACCTTACTGTCCTTGTAGAATTGTACCCCTTCAAATACGTGCTGGCATTCTACCTGTAGATATAATATTGTTGGGAAATAAAAGTTTCTTATTTTAATTAAGTCCTACTTGAGTAGGGTGGGTTCCAAATCTAATCACTTCTTAGTTATAACATGTGAAAATTAGATGCAAAGATATGCACACACGGTGTGGTGGGATGAAGACAGATGCTACATGAGCATCATCTAAAAGTTAGGAATGCCCTGGCAAGGAACCTTGGTGGTCGAGTGGTTAAAATGCTGAGCTGCTAAAAAAAATGTTGGTCATTTGAATCCACCCACTGCTCCCTGAGAGAAGGATGTAGCATATGCTACTGTAAAGATTACAGCCTTTGAAACCCTATGGAGCAGTCCTAAACTATCCTATAGGTTGCCATGAGTTCGCAGTGGGTTTGCTTGTTTGAAGATGGAAACAGTAGGCCGAGAGAGACCTGATATGAATTGTTAGCCTGCAGAACTATAAGAACATAACTTTCTTTAAACATCCCTTTAATGCAATCTACCGGTGAGTGGTATGTGTGTTAAAGTACCACTATGACATTAAAACACTTACCTTCTTTCTGGATCTCTGCAGGCACATTAACAATGTGTAGGTCTTCGGTGTCCAACTGCCAAAGGTTCCCCAGCTGCCCCAGCTCCTGAGGAAGCTCCTGGAGGCTAGGATTGCTGAGGATACACACAATACCTGTCAGCCTGCATAGCCGGTGAGGCACAGATACAATTCAAAACACCTTGGGCCCGCAAGTGTTCCATTTTAGTATGTTTATCTCAGAATCTATCTCCCTGGGAAGTCAGAAGTAGAAATGACAGTGTTGTCTATTGGAAATCCTCTGAGCTTAGGTTCCCCACCTAACTACCTCATTTTTTTTTAACGCTGCCATAAAGATGACTGCTGTATATTCTTGGGATGGCACTGCGACCTGCCCGATTGCACATTTTCATCTAGTCTTGCAAGGACTGTAACCCTGGCAGTGTCATTCACAGTACACTCTTTACATCACTGCACTAATGCCTGCCTTCCTCACCTTCTACCTCCATGTCCAAACCTCGATCTGAAATCTTGACTACTTATTGCAAATCAGAATGTTTCTCTTTCTTGATTCTTGTCTCCGGAGGGCAGATGAGGGGTGGGGTGGAGGTGGGGAGCAGTTGTCCACTGGCCCTGAAGGTCACTTTTACTCAGTGTGTACTTACTTTCCCAGGTAGAGCTCTGATAAGTTTCTCAATAGGCAAACTGATGGGGGAACCACATCCAGATGATTGTCATTCAGACATAGGACTTCCAGAGATTCGCTGAGGAAGGCTGGGAATTCTAGCACATAGCCTGCAGGGAGGTGGCAAAGCAGACGGCCGGTTTAAAATGGTTCCAAACCACCAATATGGTACATTGAGGTGGTGTATAACTTGGCACAACCCCTTGAGGGTATTTTGGCAAGGTTAATACCCATCTAACAGTTCCAACTGTCGGAAGTCATCCAGCAGATATCCCTGCATGTGTGGCAGAGATGTGAGAACAAGGACCTCGGAGGCAGAGTGTCTGTACTAGCTAGAACAGGGGAAATCTATATGTCTAACCAAAGGGGTCTGATTAGAAAACTAATGGGTGAGTATATGGATATTAGAAAGAATAGGGCAGATCTACATATATGGATATGGAATGATACTCAAGAGCTATTCATGAGTTTAAAAAGCTAGAGAGGTCTGCAGGGCTGGCCCCAACCCCAGCTATGTGGACACCCTCGCCCCTCAGAAGAAGGCACTTCAGAGGACAGCACTGGGGCTACAGCTTGGGGTGAGGGGCACGTCGGATTAGAGGACACGGGAGAAACAAAAAGGGATGGAGATGGAGGAGAGGACATCCTAGCCCACCAAGCCCCGAGGACGATATTCCTGCTCGGAGCAGACAAGACTCGGGGAGGGCCTTACGGCTGGCCCCACCACGGGACACAGCATCCTGCACTGAACCATGACGCTATGGGGGACAGCACTGGAGACACAGTGCGGGAATAGTTCATGGTCCGGCCCCATGACGCTGGGGCGAGGCACTGAGGGCATGCAGCAGAGCAGCAGGGGGAGCAGACTGATGAAATCCCCGGGGAATACCAAAAATAGACTTTGGAAACAGAATGTGGCACCCCATCAGACTTGACTGGAAAACACACATAAAAGCCAACAAATAGACTTTGAACTATTTATAGGCCTTTCCATTTTTGTCAGTGGCTTTCTTTTTCTTTTTGTTATTGTTATTTTGTTTTTGTTTTGTTGTTTTTGACTTCCTTTGTTGTTTTAGTTGACGTTGCCTGGTTTTTTCACTTAGTAATGTATCTGCATATCTATCTGGGTAAAATAGGAGGGATAAATAATTTGGAGATGAAAAGAATGGGACCAATGGTTCCGGGGGGATAGGGGAGAAGGGAGGTGGGAGAAAAGAGGGTGGGAGGGAACCAACCCAGGGACAAGGGAAGAAGAAGTGAACTAACATCAATGGAAGAAAGGTTGTAGGATGCCTAGTGGGGCTTAATCAATGGCAATGTAGCAGCGAGGAACTACTAGCCAAATGAAGGCCAAACATGATGGTGGGTCAAGGGGAAAGTAAAAGGAAATAGAGGAAAGAACCAGGAGGCAAAGGACATTTATAGAGGCATAAATACAGGCATATACAGATATATATCAAGAGGGGAATAGAATTAAGTACTCATATCTATATGTTAAAAATTAAGGTTGAAGGTGGACATTGGGCTTCAACTCAAGTATTCCCTCAACACAAGAACACTTTGTTCTAACAATCTGGCATTCTGTGATGTTCACCTTCCTGACACGATCACTGAAGACAAAATGGGTGCATAAGCAAATGTGGTGAAGAAAGCTGATGGCACCCAGCCATCAAAAGATACAGCATCTGGGGTCTTAAAGGCTTGAAGATAAATAAGCAACTATGTAGCTCAGAAGCAACAAAGCTCACATGGAAGAAGCACGCCAGCCTGTGTTATTATGAGGTGTTGATGGGATCAGGTAACAGGCATCTAAGACACAAAACAAAATCATACCCAATGTGAATGGGCAGGGGAAGGGGCATGGAGTGGAGACCCAATGCCCATCTGCAGACAATTGCACATCCCCTCACCGAGGGGTCACAGGGAAGAGATGAGCCAGTCAGGGTGCAGTATAGCTTTCCTCTAGCTCTTTGGTGCTTCCTTCACCCCACTATCATGACACCTCAATTCTACTTTACAAATCAAATTAGACTAGAGCATGAACACTGCTACAGATAAGAGCCCACAACACAGGGAATCCAGGATAGATAAACCCCTCAGGGCCAACAATGAGAGTAGAGATTCCAGGAGGATTAGGGGAGAAAAGGGGAATTGATCACAAGGATCAATTTATAACCCCCTCCCAGGGGGATGAATAATGGAAAAGTGGGTGAGGGGGCGACGGAGGAGGATGTAAGATATGGAAATAATAATCTATAATTTATCAAGAGTTCATGAGGGAGGGAGGGGCAAAAATGGGGAGCTGATATTAGGGGCTCAAGTGGGAAGAGAATGCTTTGAAAAAGATTAAGGCGGCATATGTGCAAATGTGCTTGACACACTGGATGAATGTATGGATTGTGCTAAGAGATGTAAGAGCCCGCAATAAAAGTATTTTTTTTTAAAAGAGTAACACGAAGGAAAGAAAAAAAGCTAAGTGCATCACTGATGACAACATGGGTGCATAAGTAAATGTGGTGAAGAAAGTGAATGGTGCCCAGCTATCAAAAGATCTAGCAACTGGGGTCTCAAAGGCTTAAAGTTAAACAAGCAGCCATCTAGCAGAGAAGCAACAAGCCCACATGGAAGAAGCACACCTGCCTGTGTGATCATGAGGTGTTGAGAGGATCAGGTATCAAAATATCCAAAGCAAACAAGCATATCGTTGTGAATGAGGGGGGTTGGAGTGGAGAACTATATCTCATCTGTAGACAATTGGATATCCCCCCACAGAAGGGTTATGGAAGAGACAATTAATTCAACCAGGGTGCAGTATAGCACCGATGAAACACACATCATTCTTCTGGCTCCTGAGTGCTTCCTCCTCCCCCCTCCCCCCACCCCACTATCATAACCCAGTTCTACCTTTCAAATCTGGCTAGACTGGAGTGCACACATTGGTACAGATAAGAACTCTCAACACACGGAATTCAGGACAGATAAAGCCCTCAGGAACAGTAGTGGGAGTAGTGATATCATGAGGGTAGAGGGATAGTGGGGGAGGGGGGGAAGGAGGAGAAAGGGGGAACCCATCACAAGGTTGGATATATAGCCTACCCCTCAGGGGGACAAATAACAGAAATGTGGGTGAAGGGAGACAAGGGACAAAGAAAGACACAAAACAACAACAACAATATATAATTGATCAAGGATTCATGAGGGTAGGAGGGTGCAGGAAGGAGGGGATAAAAGAGGAGCTGATACCAAGGGCTCAAGTAGAAAGAAATGTTTTGGAAATATTGATGGCAACATATGCACAAGTGTGGTTAATACAATTGAATGGTGGATTGTCATAAGATTTTTAAGAGCCCCCAATAAAACTATATATATGCTAGGTGCAGAATCATGTGTGAGAAGACCATGCACCAGAAAAGGCATGCACACACATATCTCACACATGCACAAATATGTGCATACACGCATCATTCATACATGTGAGGACAATGGTGTTCAGCAGCAGAATTCTAACCTTTCCTACGATTTTATTTCAAGTCAAAGCACCTGGTGAGTAGTCACCACCTGTCTTGTGAGTCTGCGTGCTGTTACGGCACTGTGTTCCAGCAGCGCTTCCCGACTAAGATGGACCAGGAAGACAGGCTTGACGACCTATTTCTCAAACTCAGCCAATGGAAATTCATCATTCTGTAATGCATGAGACGGCCTTGAGTGGTGGGTAATTAATTCACCCTCAGCAACACCACCAACGATGAGCTATATGTGTAGGGCCCATGGACACAAGTGCCAGGAGGGAAACATGACATTGCCAAACTTGTCTCTGGAGAAGGGAGAGTACTCATTCAACTTACTGCCACTGAGTCAGTTCAGGCTCATAGCAACTCTGTAAGACAGAGTAGAACTGCCCTATGGGCTTCCGAGGCCGTAAATCCTTAAGGGAACAGACAGCTTCATCCTTCTCCTGAGGAGCAGCTGGTGGTTTCAAACCGCTGACTTTGAGGGTGGCAGCCCAATGCGTAACCATCCACTGTGCTTCCAGGGCTCCAGAATTCCACCCTTGGGTGCTATTCAGAAAAGTTCTGTTCCTTTGGTGTGAAAGCACGGTGATCTCATACAAGAGTTGTCCTTTGGGGAGGGACTCGTTTTACGCAGAAAAGGAGGCAGAGCAAAGAGGGGAAGACAAATCAACGGACCGAGCTCGGCAGTATTAACTTGCATGAAGGGAATGATAGCAACCCACACGGAGAAAAGACAAGTCAAAGAAGGTGCAGGTAGGTTTGAGAAATACTTCAAGCTGTTGAATACAAAATTGGTGACCTAAAATATGAACTTCCAACTAATTAACAATAAAAAATTGTTTTTAAAAATGCCACAAAATATTGTTTTCCCTTGTACTTATATATATATTTTCAATTCAAAGAGGCTAAATGGTTTTACAATTAATAACACAAGCTAAGTTGTTGTGCTTCCTGAGATGGCCGTTTTTGAAAAGAGAGAGAACCTAGCATTTAAGACGTGAGTGACCATTCATTTTATAAGGTGGTCATTAAATGTCAAGCACATTTCCCTGGGTGTGGGGGCATCTGAGTTGAGAAAAGATGCAGCCCAGAGCCTTGGAAAGGCATCCCGACAGCATCCATGTGTAGAAGAGGAGGCATCCCGACAGCATCCATGGGTAGAAGAGGAGGCATCCCGACAGCATCCATGGGTAGAAGAGGAGGCAGACCAACTTCCAGGGCTCCTCTCCAGTCTAGACAAGCCGAGAGAAAACACTGGCCCCAAGGCCCCCTCCTGGCAGTGGGAACACTGCTAGACACAAACAGAGAGCAACCAGGCTCCTTTGCTGGACTGACACAGTATTCTCTTGCCCTTGATCACAACTCCCCCCTGAGCTCTGGCTTTTTTCCATAGACACAGTTGCGCTCGCAATGATCACGGGGTCATCTGCCTTAGAGAATGTTCCAGAAGAGGCAAAAACAGAACAGCAAGAGGAACTTCTGGAAACTCTGCCAGCTCGCTCGATGTGAGTGGACTCTTTGCAGTGGCTCCTGGAGAAACGAAGCTGCCGCAGACGTGTAAGGATGTCTTTGTACTAGGGCCTTGTTCCAGAGAACTT